CACTGGATTGAACAAGACGCACCAAAGTTGAAAGGTCAGCGACTGGAAGCCCTAGAGCTGACCCAGTGGGTTGGTACCTCGCTCTCGGTCGCCGCCGAAGTCTCCTTGCACTGCCTCTCGAGCTCGCCACCCAGCTGTTCGATGTTGGAACCTACCACGGCGTAAACCTTGGCCTTCTGCATGCTTGGTTCGAGGTAAGATAAGGGTCGTGAAGGGTTTTCTTGGTGGTGCTGAGGGTGGTGTGGCAAGAAGCTGAACCGTCAGGACTCTCTTTCCACCCACCACTCCTTTCCTTTTCTCGCACCAATCCCTCGCGCGCCTGCAGGCCCAATCACGAGAGAGAAAGTGATTGACGAAATTTCGGATTTTGCGACAGAAAGCGATACCCGACGATTGCGCCAACAAGCTGGCCCTTGTCTGCAGGCTAGAAGGAGGCGTGAGTTCACATGAGCAGGAGAACAAAGAGTTGGGCGCGGTGGTCTTGCGGGAAACGTTATGGACTTGTTGCTGGTCGCAGGTGAGCCCGCATGATCTGGGCCAGGCGAAGAAGTGCGATGCGGCCCACCGCGTACGGGCTCCAGCGGTGAAGAGCGTCGGCCCGCGCGTTGGCGCCACGCTCGCGTGCGGCCTCGGGGTTGCTCACTACCTCCCTCATCAGCCTGCGCAGCTCGGCCCGGTTGGGTTCCGCCCCTGCAGCATGCCGCGGAAGAGTTGGAGATACAAGGATCAGACTAGAGGAAATCCTTGAGTCCCTAAAGGGGAAGCGAAACGTACAGTAGTGACCCTTCCACGGCGGCTGCTCGATCATGGTGAGGCCTTCGATGGGCAGCGGGTAGGAATTGGTTTCATTCATGAATTGCGTTGGTCCAGACCAGGCCGTGGCGATTGTCTGATGCCACCGAGTCACCGTTAGAAGGCGAGGTTTAGATCACACGTAGTTGATGCGTGCGGCCGTACCGGAAGGCCCATGCTCATCGCTTCGGCAATTGGGCGACCCTGTGAATGCTCTGAATGTAAGCAATTTGTAGTTGTGGGGCTGTAACAGGACGACCGCACCCATCCTTCGCCGCGCGTGGGCAGCACGAAAGCCTGCACGGACTTGTAGAGCCGAGGCAGGTCCGTCTGCGGGACATGGGTATCGATCATGATCAGCCCCGGGAGCGAGTCAATGTGACGACCCGCAGCCTCGCACACCTGTACGCCGATCTTCCTCACCTCGTCGGTGAAATTGAGCCCTGTCGCGACGCGAAGATAACAGTCAGGCGTCGCCACCCTGTGAGCGCATGCGGCAGATACGACACCTTTTTCGGGATGGAATGCGTTGGTGAGCAGGTAGAGGGTGACGTTGTCCTGCTGGGTGAACTCCTCGTAGAAGGCCCGCGCGAGGATGTCCCACCCCTTTCTCGCCTCCCACTTGAAGATGGAGAGGAACTTGAAGTGGTCCTGAGTCTCGGGATAACCGGGCAGGCGTTCGAGAGGCAGCGATGTGTCGGGATTGAAGGCGTCTACGTCCACCGACTCGGGAATGACCACCAGCTTGTCGGGATTGACGCCGCTCTTGGCAAATGACGAAGCATGGAAGTCGGTGGGCACCCATATCTCTGACATCAAGTCTAGAGTGCAGGATGTAACCAAGGCGTGTCAGTCTGAGTTCACCACAACATTGCCCACACATGCTTCAGCTAGCCCGGAAGTGAAATGAGAAGGAAATCGAACCGCGGTTGCAGCGTTCGGTCCAGCCAGATGGGATACGATCAGTCTCGAACTGCAGATGTTGTGTAGCGTAAGGGTGAGCAAAACATGCGGTGGAGGAACGAAAACGCGTCCAAACGCACCATTGTTCGGCCGACCACATAGCGGGCGCCAGAGGGCGGACATACTGAAGTCTCGTAGAGCGGCGGGTTCCAGGCCCCGGCCTCGCTGTGGCAAACCACCAC